ACTTCAGGTTTCGGATACGGTTAAGCAATGTCGATTTGTTTATTCGCGGCGATAATTCCAGCTCGTTCGAGGTAAATACGCGTAAGAATTCGGTCGGTCGCGCGAAGGTTAGTCACTGCTCGCGGTGTTGTTGGCACTTTGTAGCGATGATCGCGAACGAAACAAAGACGACAATGTATATCCGAACTTTGCCGGTCAAGCGAAGGTCTAGCACGACTCGCGTAATGTTTTCGATCGGCTCGGAAAAGGAATTCGTAAACGCGCACACTTAGGAGACGTCAACGTGTGATGACGCATCATCACACGTTGACTATCGATGGATTGTACATCAAATTGCGAGATTTGATTTTTGATGAAGAAACTTCTAGCGAGTATGTTTTATGCAAAACAATTAATGTCGGGAATATTATATATGATAATATTAATAATTCGTTTCCTACACGGAGAGAAGGATCAGCGTAAAAATTACGGTGACCGTCCCGTAAAGCAGGGACATCTACATCGTACTAGTAATTTGTACGTAGAAGCCCCAACAATAATTACGAAGATGTCCCAGTGATTTTTACGTGATGAACAGTAATTTTTGTGTACTTGAATATTTACACAGAAAATCTTAAAGTTATTGCGCAGATATCTCCGCACTTTTTACCGAGTGTCCTGTAATTTTTACCTGTACACTTTGCGTGCTCAATGGTCACGTGGTCGGTCATGAGTCGTTCATGAGTTGAATGTTCCGACCGCTGACCGGCAACTGATTGCTTGCTTTTCAATATAAAATCTCTATGTAAGTACATAATTGTAATAAAAGTAATTATTAACAGTAGTGTCGATAGTGTACATCTTTGGATAAATAGTATTCTATAATACGTATTTCTGTCAGGTAACACGCACTTTTCTCGAATCTATTTCGTAAACATAACCTCTTGCATGCACTCATTATTTTTCTTGTTATTTATTTACAGAGTGTCGTAATGGTAATGGTTGACTATTATAAATCACCAAGTCGTTAATAGAATTTCATTTATCGCTATGTATATCATAGAATTTCTAACCTCTATCTTTGTTTGAAGGATCCACGACCTTGGCCGGCTGGACGTGAAAATCTTGTGAGTTTTTCAGATGAAAAGTTTTTTATTTTTAATTTACTATTTTTATTTTCTGCAGCCGTTATTTAGATTACTTAATGACAGTGTTGATGGGAAATCAGTTTTGTCAGTGTACAAGAAAAATGGACTGTTATATAAAAATAGTAGAAATTTGTTGTCAAGAATCATAATAAAAGAAGAAAAAGACAGAATTTTTGAAAATATAGTGATAGGTCAAGAGCCTGATCATTTAGAGAAGTTCATGTGAGTCAAAGATTGCAATAACAACAAAGTATTGAGTATTACACTATTCATATGATATGTAACTGATGGACTGATGTCGATTCTAGCATTTCTCCAGACACATTCAAGCGTTTAGCTCAATCAATTGTTGATCTTTTCCCCAGTGAATGTACTGAAACTTATTATATACCATACCATAGAGTGAATAAGAGAAAAATAAATCCATCGGGCACTCTATTTGATCACTGTGATTACACTAGAAGAAAGTTGAAAAGGATAGGTTTGGTGGTTCGCAACCAGGAAGAAGATCCTTTAGCAATACCACGGCTTTTATTTAATGGTGAGTCATAATTGAATAATGAATAGTCTCTTGCATCATTGGGCATATACTCAGTCGAACATTGTTTATTATCAGAATAATTTTTATAGCATAGTAGTTTGAGAGTATAAGAAATCAACTAACAGAATTGCACTTGAATATTTTATACTGATTTCTGTATAGATCAAAACCGAGATGATATCGACTGGCTTTCTACGTACATTGAACCTGAAGAAGAAGTTGAGTTGAGATGGGAGAGAACTTTTCCTACTAGGCAGAATTTACTAAGACAAGAGAAATTTCCCATTCATGAATATTATGATAAATTCAGGTGTCTTCAGACAAGCCAAGGAATATGTACAGTGACTGCAAATGACTGCACCTACTGGAATAGACATTCAAGAAGAATCTGTTATAACGCCTCCCAAACTACCTGAAAGTACTCTTCCGTCGAAGAATAAACAAAATAACCTGTTTGCTATGCCAGCTTTGCCTAAAAAAAGACATCTGTCTTTAAGCAATAGCAGTACTTCGTCACAATCAAATTCTCCGGTAAATCTCTCAACAACTGACAACAAACTTGATTCCACAAATAAAAATAAGGATGGTCACTTTGTGGCAGTAAAAACAATTCTAAAGCCTGCTTCAGAAGTACTTGAGAAAGGAAAGGATATTTACCCGTTGTGTTTTGACGATTTTGCAAACTTTTTAGTGACATCCCACGGTTGCTTTAATATCCCCGAGGAAGCAAAGAAATACACTGAAAAAACTGATGGATTGCTGCTAATGATAAAAGCTGCTCATGATAATATTGACGATCGAAATTTAAAATCGAGCATGAACAGAATTATTAAAAAACTCGAAAAAAACAATTCATCTATTAAGCTCCAAGTTAGTGGTGAATCTAGTGCCGATGAAACGTAGGTGTGAAAAAGTAGTATAACATTCAAAAGAATAAAAAAAAAAAAAAAAAATGGATCCTGATCTAAAAGACATTAACCTTAAAATAGTTTTCTGGAATACCAGAAGTTTTGTAAAAAGAAGAGCTAACATTGAACTTATCCTGAAGGATGTTGACATTCTTATATGTGTGGAGTCCTGGCTAACAAAGAAGCATATAATTCGCCATCCTAATTTTGTTGTCGTTAGAAGAGACAGAAGAACGGAAAGAGGAGGAGGCATCATTTTCCTCGTTCGAAAAAATCTAGCGTTTTATGAAATTGGCAACCTCACTTCGCCAGCTGAATCAGTGGAAATATGTGGAGTTTGTATAAATAATGTAAGTCCATCCGTTGACATCATAGCATGTTACAGATCCCCGAGCCTCACATTAACTCAGTCACAGTGGTACACATTGCTCGATAATGTAAACAGTCGCTCGCACTGTCTGTTAGTCGGCGATTTTAATGCGCACAATACAGCTTGGAACTGTAACGATACCGATGATAATGGCGAATATTTTTTCAATTCAATAGATTTGCATGATTTACACATTCACAATTTTGATACATATACCTATGAAGATATACATCGCAATTACAGTTCTAACCTTGATCTAATTTTAACCTCTTCTAGTTTGAATGCCAAAACCTCAGTCACTGTTTATGATGAGCTTTGGGGATCTGATCATTACCCGATTTTCATTGATGTTAGTACGAAAAAACATTGCTATGAAAAAAAGTCGTTTAAAATAAAAAGCGTCCGAACTGATTGGTTAAAATTTCAAAATCATCTGGAAGAAAATCACGAATTATTTTTCACAACAGAGTACAACTGCAAATCGGCTAATGAAAAATATAAATTTTTTACTTATTTAGTAACTCAAGCTATGGAAATAAGTACGCCAAGAACTAAAAATTTTGTAAAAAAAAAACACGTGAATAGTAACCCGCTCCCTTGGTGGGATAACGAATGTGCCTTACTAAAGAGATTGCGTCGCGCTTCGTACAAAAAGTGGAAATTCTCAAAAAGCCTCGCAGATCTTATAACTTATAAGAAACAATGCGCTCTCTTTCGCAAAACTACCAAAAAGAAAAAAAAGGAATGCTTCGTGAAATTTGCGGAAAGTCTATATGCACATTCGAACATGAGCTATGTAATGCAAAAATGTAAAGTTCTAAAAAATAGTTGGACAAAACCGTGTAATCAAAACTCATCGAGTAACTTCAGAAAAAATAGACACAGCGCTGAAAAAATTGTGCTCGCTACCAACAAAAATTTCCAATTCATCGTGGATACCAGAATGTCAGCCTAATCTTTTTTTCGATTCGCCTTTCGATTTTGTCGAATTCAACACAGCTCTCGATACAAAAAATACTAAATCAGCCCCCGGTATGGATGGTATCGACTTTGAAATACTACAGAAATTGCCAATTAAACTGAATCTAATTTTATTAGATATATTTAATGAAATTTATCTCACTAATGACTTTCCACCAACTTGGAAGCAATCATACATATACTTTATACCCAAAGCAGACAACAACGGCGTGAGACCCATCTCTCTAACCTCTTGTATGTGCAAACTATTTGAAACTCTTATAAAAAATAGACTTTCTTGGTGGATTGAATTCAACAATCTCCTTCCAAATAGTCAAAATGGCTTCCGCAAAAGCAAATCCTGCGCTGATAATCTCACCACGTTAACACTGAAAATCGAAGAGGCATTTATAGAAAAAAAACATCTCCTTGCGGCTTTTCTTGATGTACAAGGGGCTTTTGATAGCATTAATATTGATATTCTTCTTATTAAACTTGTCGATATAGGATGTTCAAGAAATGTAGTTTTATTTATTAAATTTATAACTTATGGAAGACTTATTTATGCGGGTTTCCTTGGGGATGATCATCGAGAAACCTACAAAGGGGTGCCACAAGGAGGTGTTTTGAGTCCGTTGTTGTATATCATATATGTAGCATGCATCCTCTCAAACATTCAAAAAAGTATTATTATATCACAGTTTGCTGACGACATCGCAGTATACATAAAATGCGGCTCGATTAAAAGAGGAAAACGGATTCTAACTAATTGCATTAAAAAAATAAAAAGCAACTTGGAAAATATTGATTTAGATCTCACGTCTTACAAAACTAAGTTCGTCCACTTCAACAACAAAAATATTCCCCCGGGTTCGCTCGAAATTCACCTCGACAATTGTTCTATCAAATCAGTAGAAGCGGCTCGTTTTCTCGGAGTTATATTTGATTACAAATTGTCATTTTCTCAACACGTCAACGCAGTCACAACAAAATGTTCTAAATCGCTCAATATAATTCGTTTTTTGAGAGGTACGTGGTGGGGTGCTCACCCCGAAACGCTTATTCTTCTTTACAAAAGCTATGTAAGATCCATAATGGAGTATGGTTCTTTTATCTACTTTCCCAAACGCATCGAACTTGCTGAAAAGTTAGAATTAATTCAGCGAAATGCAATCAGAGCTGCTCTTGGCTATAGGAACAGTACTCCGAACAATGTAATCATCGCAGAATCGAAACTACCTTTAATGATTAAAAGAATTGAATTCCTTTGTAAATGCTTTCTAGTCAAGTCAATTTCTAACAATAACAGCCAAACCGCTCAAACGATCTCTAAATTCTATTACATTGTTCAAAAGAAAAAAAAGATCAGTTCTCGCCTCATTTCTAAATGTTTAGCCACTGTTATGGTCGACCACTCTGCTATCGAAACACGCCCCAATTTATTAATATATCAATATCAATACGAAACGCTAGCAACTTCCATTCCGATCGAAACCGAACTAGGCAACAGACTGAAGGAAAGTAACAATGCGAATGAAGAGTTCATGCAATTTATGGAAAAAAGTCATGCAGTCTCTGTGTACACGGATGGCAGCAAAATCTCTGAAGGGCTCCATACTGGAGCAGCTTGTTATTGCCCAGATTTAAACATTCATATTAAAAAAGCATTACACAGCAGGGCATCTGTGTACACGGCAGAGTGCTTGGCTCTTAATGAAGCGATTGATATCGCCTTTCTTACTAAAAACCGTGAAATCTTTATCTTCTCAGACTCACTAAGCGCACTTGAATCTTTGAAATCGACTAAAATCAACTCAACCACTAATTCATACATCTTAGAGATCAAAAGAAAATATAAAGCATTGTCAACCTCTAATCGTAACGTAACTTTTTTCTGGATTCCTTCCCACAAAGGTATTTCGGGCAACGAACAAGCAGATGTTCTCGCCAAAGAAGCTACTGAAAGCACTAGTTCTGATATCACTGCCATTCCGTTTACTAACCTTTATGAAGATTTTAAAAAGCAGGCGTACGCGGAATCTGAGAAGATTTATTTAGATAAAAGCGTTACTACAGGCACTATATATTTTAATAATTATTACAAAAGTAGCAGAAAACCTTGGTTTGTCGGTAGATCTCTCAAGAGAGAATTTATTATTACAATAAATAGATGTCGAGCTAACCATTATAATCTAGCAGCGTCGATGTATCGCAAAAATTTAGTAAATGATCCTAAATGTAAATGCCAAAACGAAGATGAGGATTTAAATCATGTATTATGGCAATGTGCCCTCTACGAAGAGCCTAGGAAAAAACTACATAACTCTCTTATGAAATTTAAACTGTTTCCACCGTTATGTATTGAAATGCTTATTGCGGATCCAAATATCGAAGCTTGTATTTGCGTCTTTGAATTCCTAAAAAAAATGCTCTTTAAAAGTGTAAATTAATGTAACATATGAAATGAATAGATTGTAAGAAAACTGTACATTCTGTAAATTAAAATTGTAACTTTACTGTAGCATATATATATCTCTATAGAGATATGAAATGCTTAATAAATAAAAAAAAAAAAAAAAAAAAAATAACCAACACAGGTAGATGTGACTTTGAAACTCACATAAAAAAAATATTTGAATATTTATTTCAGATATACATAATAATTTCCTACTGTCAACTGAAACTTTTTGCAATTAAAAAACTTAAGCAATGATTGTTACTGTTTTTGGACCTGGTATGAGTTCCAATCTTTCACGAAGAGATAAATATACAACAATTCACATAATTATACGTAAAAATAAAATAAATAATATAAAAAGTCCTATTAAAGTAACTACCATTCTGTACATGAACTAATGAATATTTCGGCAGACTATGTTAGTTAAGAATGAATAATTATGTTTATCACTTAATTTATTCTTAATAATAAAGAAAGATAGCGATGATGCATAACGAAGATTGTTTGAATTGTGTATAGTTGAATGAACGGGGGAAGAAATTTTTTAAACTCTTTTGAGAACAATTGAAAAAGATGTTTTATACACTTTTACTCCATTCCTAATGTTAAAAACAAAATTTATTTTATAGGTGTAAAATGCAGTTCAATTTTCTCGTTATGGGGTCTTAAAATAAAGTTGAACACCATTTTTATTTCAGATTGTTTCATAGTGCTCGAAACGTGCCATTTTCGTAATATTGCAGTCAATGCTGTTTTTAGTTCCAATAGCGCAAATTTTTGACCGATGCAATTTCGAGGTCCAGCGCTAAAAGGTATATAAGCATAAGGATTTTTAAAACGAATATTGTCTGGTAAAAAACGATCAGGATCAAATTTATCGGGATTGTGACGTCGGGGTCACTCTCAGGTACGCTTGGAGCAAGCGTAAACTCAGGGTTGCTCTGATTTGGCTATCGTGTAACACACAAGCCGGGACGAGCAATATTGTTGCGTTGAGAAAACTGTATGCTAACGGGGAATGTAATAACCAAATGTTATTACGAACACACCAGACTCACGCTTAATGTGTTCTTAAGGGACTTTAATGGAAATTCACCAGACTCACGCTTAATGAATTTCCAAAAGAAAGGCGGATTACTTAAAGAAAGAAAAGGATAGCCAGGTTTAAGATTTTACTTACTTTTATTTTATCAATTTAGTTATTATTAATGTTGCGTTCTCTCTCTGCTCTTTGGCCTCTTTCTCTCTCTATATGTTCTGAATATAGTTGGGTGATTTGATGCTTGCTCCGGGACTCGCTCACTAGTAAAAACTTCTTATTACGGACTTCCTGGTGCTCACTCCGCACTTACTCTATCTGAACTTGACTTCCTCTAACTTAACTGACTGAACTGAGCTTAACTTCACTTAACTTCCTCTCCAGCCTTGTACAGAGCTTTTTATAAGCCGTGGGTGGTTGGGTGGAAATCCCTTTCCTCAGGCCCATGAAGCGATAACGGCTAAATTTTGTATTGGTCGGAAATTTTCTAATCATATCCAGAATTTCTTTATTGGTCTGTGGGCGTGAATTTTCAGAGAGAGAAAGGGCGGTCCCTTTTTAACTTGGGCCCTTTTCTCCAGAGATGGCTCTCGGAGTGCCACTTTTAAGAGCAAGAGTAACGCTATAGCTTATAATTACTTATACATAATTGTACTAAACTTAATTAATTATGACGATACATAGTGACTATTATGAACATTCAGAAAAATTCAAACCTTTTACGATTTATTATAAAATACATTATTGTTCTATTTATTGGTTATTCGGTGACAAAAAGGTGCGCATTATAATGGCTTACAAAATTGATGAAAATCTATTTAATATTACGGATATTTTCTTAAAAATCGGTGGGAAAAAAAAAGATAGATTGCATTTTTATGGTCCCCTTCCATTATCGGCGTGATAACACTTCACGATGTATACGCGATGATCGTAGGCCCCTGTCAACACATACGTGTGGGACAAAGCAGGATAGAGCGTTGATTGTAAGCTTGAGTACGCAGGCTCGGGCCACTATCAAAGTTTATATTTCGAATGCGTTTTCATCGTGGGAAATCAGGAAGGTTCCCACTCCGTTCGTCATATTTAATAATTAAATATAAAAAAAACTAAGTTATGGCTAGCCGTCACACCCCCACACTTAAACGATTGCTAGAGGAGTGCAACGAGGAAGAGCAATCGAAATTTTTATTCTAATTATAAAGATCTTGTCGTATCATGCTGTAATCAAGGTTTTATTATTATTTTTATTATTTTATTAATCTCGAAGATCTTACCCTAACATGGGAGGAACCCAAACGATGGTTTAACTGCTTGAGATTGTGATGCTGGAATCGAATTACTCTGGTTGTGTTGTGTTATTTCATTTTCTGTTGTATGTAGAGTCGGATATAACTCCTGTCCAGGAGCGGTGGCAATATTTGCTGGTGATTCTACATCCCTTTTCGCTTCTGTGGGTTTTGGTGCTAAATGTATCAGAAACGTAGTTAAACTGTTCCATATGGCCCCAATCAGATGAAAAGACCATCCATAAATGCTATGTAGAGTTATTCCATTGATGAGGACTTCTATTAATTTTTTTGTAGTTTGGACAATTAGTATAATTGCAAGTATACCGGCACTGAAAGTACCAAAGGTCATAAATTTCATCCACATTTTGCTCCAGGTATTGATTATTAACTGCTCCATTACATTCTCGTTCATTAACCTTCCAATTATTCCATTACTGTCTCTTATGGTGTGTCCACGAATTTCTCTGGTTACATCATTTATTACTGCAGGTTGCTCCAAGGGGAACAGGATTCTGTTCATTAAATCTTGTAGATCCTTTTCTGTATATATTCCGCTGGTGGCTAGTGAGGGAATATTCTGGTACTTCCAAGTTAATCCAGAAAAAGGCTTAAGAGTGGTGGGAGTTTTTGCTTCTACTGCTCTTGGTAAAAACTTATACCAGTCATCATTAAAGTAAAAAAATGTGGGTAGGAGAGCATTACAATCAACTACTGTCCCATAAGCCTTCAAAATATGTGTTTTTGGAGATAAAAATTTGGTATGGTTGTTATGGATTACTTTTAGTTCAGCATAACATTCGTCTCCTTGCGATACCTTCACATCAACGGGTATACACTTAACGATGTGTACTACCTCTCCTGCTGTCACAGCCATGTATCCGGGTCCTTTCATGAGATTATAGGCAAACTGATCGGGAGATTGACTAGCAATTGCAAGTGCATTTTTCATAATTTCTCTTTCTTGCTTACAGCGATGTACGACAACATCCTTGTACATACGACTTAATTGTACTTTTATGTGACGTTCTACATATACAAATTTAGAATTTACATACGCAAATATATCTAGGTTGTTCATTGATATTTTCTTACTTAGAAAAAATGCATTATTTTCGACAATATAAACGAATAATTTTGGGTGTTCAGTAACTATAATTTCGTAACCACATAGATTACGTTTAGATTTGGATATTAACGCAAAAGCAATGTCTTGTGTTACTAACGAGTATAATGTTTGTTCTATTTCACCTTCAATTTGATTAGCTGTTCCTTCATACAATATTTGATACCGATTAAATTTGCATACATCTTTAGGTACACTTTTCCAAAAAGTGTATCCTCCTTCAGAATCTACACAATGTTCACTACCTAAAATACATCTAACGCCACTACGTAATATTATTTGGTTATTATCTAAATCGACAGAAGCGGTGTATTCTTGTAAAGTTACTTTTATTTTAGCTTGGACAACTACGGAATTCCAGCTTCCATAAGCATCGGAATAACTACCATAGGTACATTCTCCATTATGATCTACACTTCCTGCAAGTATAGCGGGTCTAACCGTGGTTTGATTAACTTTAATATCTCGAAATACATGTGAATTGTCAAAATAAAATGTACCGCTTTTGTGTAAATCATAACACGTTTGTTGGCTTACATCCATTAAATATTCTATTGCGCCATTCTCTATTATGGAATTATGTGAATGCATTCCACAATAATAAACAGTTCGGTCTACTTGGACTTTACATTGAATCACTTGAGCAGTTTCATAGTTATTTAACTGTAACAATTGAATGTACTTTCTTGTTGCGTTTATTTTTGTAGAAGGCATTTCACATTCTTCCACACTTAATAAAGATATAGTGGTTATATTAAGAGATCTTGCTCCGCAGTCGTATCCTATGATGGCTGTAACTGGATTAGTTATTGTTAAAAATATTAGTGATAACAGAGAAGAATGCATCATGTTTTCGGTTCTGTAATCAGAAAATATTTCATTATATGTTCCTTTTGATCTTTTGTTTGTTTCATAATATATATATATTTTGTTTTATGATTTATCTCATTTTATTTTATATTATATTATATTTTTCCTCTCTACCCCTTTTTCTATTTCGGCTTATTTTCTTTGGTTGATTTGTTTATATGTGAAATTCGGAGTCTATTTGAATGAACTATTTTTGTGCCCTTTTTAGTCTCTATTTTTACATTATGTTTTGGAAGAATACCAACTATTTTATAAGGCCCTGAGTAATGATCCCCGAATTTCCCTGGTTTAGGTCCGGATTTTAAGAAAACGTAATCACCTAAACTAAAGTCTTTTGGATTTATATGTCTATCGTAATATTTTTTTGATTTTTCTTTAGAGCTAACTAAATTTTCGTAAGCTAATTTTCGTATACTACATAAACGCGCAACTAAATCTATTATATATCCTTTATATGTAGGTAACGTATCGCTTTCACGAAGGGGATTATTTGAGGGCATTCGAGCTAAGCGGCCAAATACAACTTCATACGGCGTATGTTTGGTACTTTCTTGTACACAGGTATTGTAGTTTAGGATAGCTAGGTCGAGCCAATCATCCCAATCGTTGTCAAGATCGGTGTATTGCTTTAAGTACTCAATTAACACGTGATGAGATCTTTCTAGGGAACCGTTCGACTGAGGCATGAATGCTGTGGTTTTTAATTTCTTTATTTTGAATCGCTTGGAAATACGCGTCATTAGCGAACTCAAAAAATTTCTGCCTTGATCAGTAAGCACAGCTTTCGGACATCCAAAAACACAAATGAATTTCTTAAGAAATGCATCCGCTATTGTTGATGATAAGGTGTCTGCTAATGGGACAGCTAGACAAAATTTACTTAATTGATCCTGTAAGGTTAAAATGTATTCGTTTCCTTTTATTGTTCTATATCCTAGTTCCACTAGAACAATATCGAAACAAAGACACCAAACTTATATTAATACTATATTTCAATAATTAGAATGATTTTAAAAAAAAGTCTGAACTTCATACTTTTACTAGAAATCTCAATCTAATTTATCGTAATAAAACCTTATCTATTTCTGTGTATAAACTAAGGATTATCGCGAATTATTTTACTTATAATTGTAAATTTTCAAATGACTTTGCTAATTTATCTACTTTATTTGCTAAAGCCCTTTTTGAAATCGTATTCCTATTAATTAGTTTGTTATTAATTTTTACTTGCTTCCTAAGATTTTTAACTTGTTTCTTTAGGGCAGTATTTGTTTTTATTAAGTCTACACAAATATTTCCCAAACTAGCTATCTGTTCAATTCTATGCTTATTTTCTAATTCAAGTTTCGCGACACGTGCGCTAAGACTACGACCGTTATTATTTATTCTTGTGATATCGGAACTATGATTATTAACCCTATCAATTACGGATATTTGACTGTCCTTTAAATGTGTAATATCTTCGATTAATTCATCTACCGTGTCGACTACTTCGTTAGAAAAAGTATTAAAACTTACGAACGGTGGCATTACAACTAAAAGAAAGACCAAAAATCTTATTTATCTAAACAACGAAATTTTATTAAAACTTATTCGTTTGTAGAATTATGAAAACTGTATGTGAACGTTTTATTAAAATTTTATTTTTACAGATATATTGCGGCAATTCATTTCTTAGATATAAATTTTGATTCCTACAGAAAGATATTTATCTTTATTTTTACTTAAACTTTCTTAATTAAACCTTTCATTCTTTGATACTATTTGTTTTTAAAATTATTTATTTTACTTATAACAGGCAATTTTCTTATTTAAATTTTTCTAGTTTGCAAAATTATTTATTTCAAAATTTCTACTTTTATATTATTTTTCTCAGCAAGATTTCCTAAATTTCTTTTAAACACAATACTCTTTTATTTTTACTCCGAGTTTTATTTATTTATTTATTTTTAAGTTTTCTTCCGCAAGATTTCTAATTTCTCTAATTAATTTTTATTGCTAATGTATTTCTTTCCGACTCAGACAAGATTCGTAATATTATCTCAAAAAATTTTCCTGTATGTTATTTTCAATCTTTCTAAATTAACCTTTTTATTTTTAAATACAATTTTTAGAACAAAACATAAATTCAAAACCCTCTTTTTTCTATAATAAGCATTTATTCTTATTTCTCTCTTCAAGGCACAAAAGAAGACTTTTCTTTGGACGAATTTTCTATTCTGATTTATAATTTTACTTTCATAAAAAATGATTCTTCTCTGAAAATTTTTTCAAATTTCAAATATTTTTCAAACTCTTTTCTTAAACAACTTAATTTTCTTTATTTTTCTCTAACTCTTCTATTAATTTACTCATTCAAATTTCAATATTTTCTAAATTATTTCACTATTCTTTATTACAAAATAAATTCCCATTAATTTTCCCAAAATTTTCCTAAGTTCAATCCAAATAAACTCCAATTAATTTTCACTTTCAATTTAACCTATCTCCTTGTTTAACACAAAACTTATTTTCTATTTTCTCAATTAAATCAGTGATTTTCTGACTAATAAATTTGTATTCTTATTCAAAAAAAAAAAATTTTATTACTTTATTTTATTCTTCACAGATTTCAAATTCAATAAAATACTTTAAGTAGTATCTATTCTTAATTTTCTTTTACTCTAACTGATCACTGATATAATTTAAGAAAGGAAAACCCTAACAGTTTTCTTTGCAACAATTTAATCCCTCCGGGGCCTCCAAAATTTTTATGTGACGTCGGGGTCACTCTCAGGTACGCTTGGAGCAAGCGTAAACTCAGGGTTGCTCTGATTTGGCTATCGTGTAACACACAAGCCGGGACGAGCAATATTGTTGCGTTGAGAAAACTGTATGCTAACGGGGAATGTAATAACCAAATGTTATTACGAACACACCAGACTCACGCTTAATGTGTTCTTAAGGGACTTTAATGGAAATTCACCAGACTCACGCTTAATGAATTTCCAAAAGAAAGGCGGATTACTTAAAGAAAGAAAAGGATAGCCAGGTTTAAGATTTTACTTACTTTTATTTTATCAATTTAGTTATTATTAATGTTGCGTTCTCTCTCTGCTCTTTGGCCTCTTTCTCTCTCTATATGTTCTGAATATAGTTGGGTGATTTGATGCTTGCTCCGGGACTCGCTCACTAGTAAAAACTTCTTATTACGGACTTCCTGGTGCTCACTCCGCACTTACTCTATCTGAACTTGACTTCCTCTAACTTAACTGACTGAACTGAGCTTAACTTCACTTAACTTCCTCTCCAGCCTTGTACAGAGCTTTTTATAAGCCGTGGGTGGTTGGGTGGAAATCCCTTTCCTCAGGCCCATGAAGCGATAACGGCTAAATTTTGTATTGGTCGGAAATTTTCTAATCATATCCAGAATTTCTTTATTGGTCTGTGGGCGTGAATTTTCAGAGAGAGAAAGGGCGGTCCCTTTTTAACTTGGGCCCTTTTCTCCAGAGATGGCTCTCGGAGTGCCACTTTTAAGAGCAAGAGTAACGCTATAGCTTATAATTACTTATACATAATTGTACTAAACTTAATTAATTATGACGATACATAGTGACTATTATGAACATTCAGAAAAATTCAAACCTTTTACGATTTATTATAAAATACATTATTGTTCTATTTATTGGTTATTCGGTGACAAAAAGGTGCGCATTATAATGGCTTACAAAATTGATGAAAATCTATTTAATATTACGGATATTTTCTTAAAAATCGGTGGGAAAAAAAAGATAGATTGCATTTTTATGGTCCCCTTCCATTATCGGCGTGATAACACTTCACGATGTATACGCGATGATCGTAGGCCCCTGTCAACACATACGTGTGGGACAAAGCAGGATAGAGCGTTGATTGTAAGCTTGAGTACGCAGGCTCGGGCCACTATCAAAGTTTATATTTCGAATGCGTTTTCATCGTGGGAAATCAGGAAGGTTCCCACTCCGTTCGTCATATTTAATAATTAAATATAAAAAAAACTAAGTTATGGCTAGCCGTCACAGGATCATCCCAAACATCAGGATTGTGGTGTAGTTGATAAATGTGAATGTTCAAAATTGTTCCTTTGGGTATTAAATAATCACCTACAAACACATGTATTTTTAAAACAATAAATGATAGTTATTTAACATCAGAAGACATTTTATTTTATTTTAACTCGTGAATTGCATTGCTTACCAATAATAGTATCGCTGTCAACACGTCGGCTAATGGACGGAGCACTGGGATACAGTCTAAGTACTTCTTTTATCACTCGATCTAGGTATTTCAATTGGCCTAATTGCTTCATTGATGCTACTTCAGTTTTGTTGCTGAATACTTCATTAAGTTCTTCATGAACTTTATTTTGAATTTCTGGGGCATTGCCAAGTGCAAATAATGCCCAGCTAATAGCAGCGGAGATTGTATCATGACCCTAGAAAGCCACAAAGTTATAATCTTTCAAATATTCAGAACATATGCTTTCTTACAGCTATAAGGGCAAATTTCTCACAGCAAACATAAATGTGTCAACTTCTTCTCGAATTTCTCGTAATGACAACGCATTTTCAGTCTTCTCGCTAGCATCAAATAATAAATCTAGAAAAGCTTTTCGTTTTCGTTTTCCTAAAAAAGATAAAACTTATATGAAATATAAGCTAAATTTGTAGCAATTTTTTGCTTGATCAAACTTAAATAAGTATTAAGTATAGTAGAGAATGGAAATTTAGATCTATAAATATTTAACTTAACTGGATTTACGAAAAAATATGTCTAGACTATTCGAGTCTTCAAATTGAATTTTACGAAATGATAACAGTGCAATACGTGACTCTTTCTTAGAATTAAAGATGTAGTTCCTTCCATTTCCATCAATCTAACCGACTTTCCACAAAGTAAACGGCTCCAAACTAATCTCTATAATTCTCAATAATCACAAAAGCAGTCTGAAACCTAGCTAACATTGTAATTATTTAGGTTTAATTTAGGATTACTACTTTCTGATTATTAAATTACCGCAGAAGAAAAGATTTTGTGCATCGAGATTTCAGTTGAAAAATTATTAAAATTATGAAAATTTATTAAAACATTAGGTTACTTGTTGCGGACGGCTAGACGATCATATGGCCGAACACCTAGAACACATCTGACCAACGGATGTTGGCAGCTCAAGACAATACTGAGAAAAACCCGGACCAAAAGAAAACCTGGTCATTAAGGGAAGTTTGCGCTACAAAAATGTGCGACACGTGTCTCCTTGGAAATAGTAAGTGTGCAGGCTAGTTGTTCCGACGCTGCGAGCACCATATTTATGGATTCGGCATGCCTCCTCAAGGTTTCGCTCGTTTGGTGGTGTGGCTTTTAGCCAGGACAAGTGCCGCATTTTACTCAAGACTGTTTCAGCCTCTAAAAAGTTTCGCCTGCTTTTCAAGATAACAGAAGATCGCACCTAAATCACTCAGCGACCCACGTGCGAGTTAGAGGGTAGAAGAAATCCGATAAGAGTAAATAGGACCCCGCCCTTAAGCGGAGGAGGTGGGAGGCTCGGCTAAGAGAGCTGATTGTGGCGGAAGAACAATTAGCCTAGTTACTTGTGTTCTAACATCGGATGAGCGAAGTGTAAATTTATTGTATATCGGCGAGCTACATAAGTAATTGTATCGCGATGACGCTATTATATGCACGCACGAATGGAATATACAATTTTAGTAATATAATAACGTGTATGTGCGTGAATAAAATCAAGATACTTTGAAATTCGATTGTTCAATTACTTGCTCCCGTCCCCAAAATTAATTGATATGATGTGTAATAGTAAATTATAGTCTGACACCTTGAAAGCCTGTGAGATATATAAATATTTAATACAACTGTAGAATTATAATGATTCAGGCGTAAAACTGAAACATTTAACAGAGACATAATGAACAATTGTGTTGGACTTTATGGTTTTCTACAACGTTTCAACCAATCAGAAATAATTTTTTTGAACTTGAAATCGTTAGTGGTCGAGTCTCTAATAAGTCGGATGTTTTTAATGGAAAATAGAAAGAAAGTGAAAAACTTCAAAATATCAAATATTTAAGTGCCATTTTCGCACTACAATCGTGTGCATATAACTACCAAATTATTAAACTCTATTGCGATAACAATACAAACTATATTAACCGTCAGAGTCATGGTGGCCTGTATGGTGAACAATACTTTAAAACAATAGCAAAATTAAATAAAGACTAGATTTAATCTTTAAATTACACCAATCGATTGAACAATTTATATTTAGTTCACGGTATCTAATAGGATAAACTAATCAAACCAAAATTAAAATTACTTAAAATTATGCTTTGAGCGTAAGTACGAATTAATATTCATGCTACCGATGCTTTTGTAAAGCTGTGACTGTAACAATAAGGGTTAATAAAATGGATGAAGTTCAGCTCGAAAATTTCAATAATATAAAACGACCGATTTTTTTGGTGCAAAAATAGGCATATTTCGATATCTGAAGCTTACATCATCTAAATAAAATGCAGATGCTGATTTTGAATTGCATAGACCGAAGTAGATTGCAAAGATTCAATTATGAGATAAAGCTTTCAGACACATTAGTAATAAATTTAGTGTTCTTCAAATTGATGTGTTCAATTCTTGAGTAAAATATATTAAATGTATCAATTATCTTTCTTGGAAAAACATCCAGATTATTTTGCAATCAATGCGTTCATATTACATTAGACCGAATTCTTCTTTCATACATAAGTGATGAAAAGGTAAAAGAAATTATGGCTATACCAGAGTGGCAGGCCAGGACTATTACCTATTATTCTTTGATTTGCCGATATCAAAGCCATCGAGCTCCAAAATTAAACATACTATATTTTTCTAACAGAAAATCGAATCCATTCTGAATCAAGGTTATTCTTGTGGTTGGAATATTTGTCAGAATACCGTACGAGTTAAGGGGAATACCGAAAACCTTACTTTAGACGTTACGATTGCATATATTTCTACTTCCTCGTATAAGCAACAAAAAAATGTCATATTGTGTTTGAAATAACGTCGATTCATTCATCACGTCTATTTCACATGTTTTGATTTTCTTAACTGAAGCCGAAAAAACACGGAGTTGATAATATACTCGTAATCTACAGGGTGTCCCATTTTAAAGGAACCACCCCGAAATTTTCAACGGTTGGCGTTGTACAAAAAAATTGTTCAGACAATAGTTGTTTGGGACAATGGGGGCAATCTTTCTGTGAAATCCGATTTGACCTTGAGATTCATTTTCAAGGTCATTTGAAGGATAATTTTTTGGGGATATTGGGGTTATTGAATTATTGGGGTTATCGGGTTATTGGATTATTGGGTTATTTGGGTTATCGAGTTATTGGGTTATTACAATTAACCTTACCCTTGCCCGATCATCCTTGTGCATAGATGAAGAAAATCATAAATTTGACCCCTACATGACCTTAGGCGAGGGGGAGGGGGCCGCACCCCACACATAATACGTTATCTAAACGTAGAATTTTCCGCTCTTTCCGAATCCGGGATCAAAAATATGGGTTCCTATTCAAAAAATGAGTTTGACCTTCAAATGACCTTGAAAATAAATCTCAAGGTCAAATTGGATTTCACAGAAAGGTTGCCCCATTGTCCCAAACAACTATTGTCTGAATAATTTTTTGGTACAACGCCAACCGTCGAAAATTTCGGGGTGGTTCCTTTAAAATGGGACACTCTGTATACACTTACCGCAATCATCAAAGTTATTTTCACTTGGATTCTTAGCCAATTTATTTCGCCTTTCCAGCTGTTTGTATATAATCACCTGTTATTTAATAACATTGAATTATTATATTAAATGATATATACGGTATAATGACATATAGATTTTGTATACATCCACCTTTTCCGTAAAATTATGCATAGTTTTTATAGCTTTCAAAAATTCTTGACCTTTTTCTGTATAATAATATAGGGCGTCCCATCTCAGCCAAAATCGAAAAAATCTATCAGACGATAAGTGAGCAAAACTAGTGGAAAAACAACTGATGAAATAAAGTTAGAAAAACCAACAATATACAAATACAATTATCATTACTTGTGTAATGCCTTAACATATTCACTATTAGGTATTCGTTGACAATCGATATTTATACCCATAGCTGTCTCACAAATTGTATCGAGCGTATATTTTACAGTTAATTCGAAAACATTTATTGGACTATTTCTACTTTTGTCTAGTTGCGCTTCAATACTGTCAATTAGAATTTCGACCTTGTCTCTCATAGCAGCAGCATACTCTTCCAGTATGTTAAAATGAAATGCTGGTGTTATTATCCGTCTATGTTTAAGCCATATTTCACCTATAATTATTCTTTTAGATACAGTTGTACAATGTACTGTATTAAACGAATGATTGTAACGTTTCATTTTTACCTGTTGAAGTAACGAGCCCATCACCTAGCCACGGTTTGATAATATCATACATTTTAGCTTTAGTTATGAGCCTATTACTTGGTAGAACTACCTGAAAATTAATAAATAAATCATTACTATTATTACTCATAAGAACAATGCTCTTTCGAACTAAACATTAAATTATATTGATAACCTCCATGTACTCCGGTTTATTAATAGTCACAATCGGTTCGACGCCAATCCACGTTAAAATTATCCCATTTTTGAATTTCCTCGTTAAATTATTAAACCATTGGAATCGATCTAAAAAGTCAGGTTTTTATGTTGCTATTAAAACATAAAATTATTTCTGATATTCAAAAGTAGGTTGAATAATTACTTACCTTCATTTGGTGTATGCATGATCTGCAAAGTTAACCCAATGAATGGTGCGCATTTCGGACCAGGAATAACACTTAGTGTTTTCTTTAGTATATAATAATGCCAAAACCATCGACAAACGATAACAGTTGATATTACAAGTAGCCCTCGAAATATTGTTTGTATCATCTTATCAATTGTTTTCACTAAAAAAATCATTAAAAACACGTGATAAAATATTATTCATAACGCGTTGACAACGTCGTGAGGTGACAGCCACTGAGTAACTTAAGGATGCACAAGATATGACCATTCTTCTTGTTACGTTCTTCTAGTTAAGATGAATTTTAGTGTATTGCTACGAGAACCCGTCCTAGTCATAAGAATGTAAATTATATATACATTTAGTTAAAAATATACATCTTATGTAAATACAATTTGAAGCGATTGCTCTTAATAAACAAATCTTACATTGTGATATAACAAAGATATATGTCAATTAAATTTTTTAGTATATATATATATATATATATATATATATATGCACCATGAATAAATATTGTTATACGAAACTATTCCCCGGAGGCTCATGCTCAATTCACGTCCAAAAAATAAAATTCAATTGAAAATTTTCGTTGTCTTAACAAGCGATGTAATATGCACTGGTCATGAACGTTGAATTATTTTAATGTATGGTCGAATCAAGATTCGAGCAAAATAACTAGGCAATTTATGGCATGTAAAGGAGAATGAATGGACGCCCTTCAAAATAATAACCTTTTTAAACATACGAAAAATTTCATTCATCTATCTCGTTCAATTATTGTATTATATTGTTATTGCTCATTATAATATTGCTATCATTCAGTAATAAATAAACACGTTTCTTTCAAAATTATGATACAATTTAATTTGATAAAATGTTAAAAAGTAATGTAAAACTGTCTACAAACAACGAAGATTGATTTACAAATAAAGTAATTTAAAGTAAAAATATTCTTCAAATAAAAAATAAATATAAAAGAATTGCAAATTCATATGGTTTCATTCAAAGTCGAATCATTAATGATCCTGTATTAATATTTTTGAAAAGTTAGCAATGACTTCAACTATAAAAAACTGAAATATCTCTGTAAATACTGATAAATATTGTTACCAGAAAGCTAACTAAATACAATTAATCATAGTTATGTGTTAAATTATTTATATTTTGTCCGATAGATCAGTTGATTTTTATTGGCAATTGATTTTCATATTGCTTTGGGTACAGATTAGGTCATGAAAAAATGTTTATATAATTTTTATCTTTTATGAGCTAAACTCATAAAATTTATAATTATTACCAGAATGTATTTGTTTTAATTGGTAGGATAACATTTTGATAATATCAAATTATATAATTTCCGTCTTAAAATTATATTATATCTATATCGAAGATTAAGCATTCAGTAGGGGTTGAAAGTATAATTCTATTTTGTTGTTACTCGGCCTTAATGTAAAGTTAGATATAAATTTAAGTTCATACGGTTTTAATAAACTAAAAACACGCCATTTACGAAGTATAGTGATCAAAACTATTTTTATTTCTATGAATGCAAGTTTTTGCCCTATACAATGTCTTGGTCCAGCGCTGAATGGGATGTAAGCATAAGAATGTCTTCCATTGCTATTTTCTGGTAAAAATCTATCGGGGTCAAATATTTCAGGATTTTTCCAAATTTCCGGATCATGATGTAACTGATAAATTTGTATATTTATATTTGTTCCTTTAGGTATGAAAAAGTTATCTGAGAATCGAATAATTGTTGTTAATTAATTAGTCACAGCATTTATCTCTTTATTTTATATCATAAGCAATTTTGCAGTATAATGTCTCAATGTACCTATTACTGCATCATTTTCTATACACCGAACTATAGATGAAATACTTGGATATATTCGAAGAACTTCTTGTATTACTCTATCTAAATATTTTATTTTTTCTAATTGTTCAATATCTATTGCATTATTGCTATGATCAAAAATTGTATTCAATTCTTTATGCACATTTTCTTGCACTTTCAATTCATTCCCAAGAGCAAATAAAGTCCAAGTTACAGCAGCTGAGATTGTACCGTGACCCTTGGCATGTAAAACGTAAAACTTAGTATTGTCTAATATTTCATAGATCAACTAACAACTGTTATGAAATTTGTTTACATACAGTAAATATGAGTGTTTCAATTTCTTGTCGCATTTCTTGTAACGTCATTGGATTTTCAGAATTTTCATTGTATTCTAGTAAGTGATCCAAAAATGTTTTGAATTTAATCTGTTCTGAATAAAATAAATATAAGCATTTCCTTCATAACAATTTTTTAACTATTTATTATTATTATTATTATTATTAACTCTAACCAAAGTTAGAAAAATGTTTTAATAGTGATTTCTCAAATATTAATGGTTTCTCACGAGGCTTCATACGTAAAAATAATGATTTATCTTTTATTTATATTAAGAAAACAGTACTTTCGTACAAAACAAAACGACACGAGTTCATACCTGGACTTCTAGAATCCTGCTCCATGAGCATTCTGCCATTATTAATGCTTATTTTATTTCTTATTATCTGTTACCAAGAAATAATAAGTTTTAAAACATCAATACCTATGAATATTAATTCTTATCATACCTACTTGGTCAATAAAATTATGCATAACTTGTATGTCTTTCATTATCATCTTTTTAGTTGTTGCTTGGTAAAATCGTGAGTTCCATTGTGACCATAAATTACTAGATCTTTCTATACATATTTGATAAAATCTATATTAAAAAGTAATTTAAAAAATAACTTCAATTATTGCAGAGAAAAATTTAATTAAAAAATGATTACAAACTTATAGAGTGTCTGGGTATAAAGGTTGCCTTCTGTTTGCTGAGTATTAACTATCAATCCTACAGCAATTTCATAAATAGTATCAAGACTATATTTGGTAATAAGAGATAAAATATTGACAGGTGCTTTTGAATTAAATTTGATTTCTTTATCCAAACATTCATCCAATATTATGGAATTTTTGTTCATAATCTCAACGTAACATTTTATTGCATCAAATCCATAAGCCGGTGAAATCAAATGCCTGCAATATAGCCACGCGTTACCTTAAACAAAACAATATATATAATTATTGATTTTTCAAGTTTCTATAAAATATTTGGAATTTTGAATGACTGATATATTCTATAGAAGTTCTTTGTGATAAGTTAATTTTATTATTTTAAATATGAAAGTCACGATAAATAATAAATATTATTCAGAAATCAATAATAACATAGGTGAAAAAATTTTACACCCAAAAGTCAGACTATACGTTCTGGAAGGTTTTTGGTGCGCTGAATCCAAATATGGCATTACAATTGCTCCATTACATCAGAATTCTGAGATATTCTAACCTAAAAGTATAATAAATATTGTTTGTCCCCGATTTTAGGCTCGAATAACTTTGCGAGTTTTGATTTTATTCAAAATTCGTAAAAACCTTTAGAAAGAACAACTTTTAAACTTTGATGTTATTTTGTCAAGGTTATATTTATATATCATCTGAGCCCTATCTATGGTGGGTCTATTGCTGATGAGTTTGAGGTTATAGGTTTCAGCCTACTTGGGTGTTAAGCAGGTAAGCGCTACTTCTAAATCATTACTTTTATGAATCATCCTTCGTTTATGATAAATTAATTTTAATAATAAACGAAAGGTTAAATGCTGTAATTGTTCTTCTATATAATGGCTATAGGAACAAGTTGATTTTTCCATATTTTAATCAGCGATATATCTCGGAGTAAAAAATGTAGAAAAGTGAAATCAAAATTTTACAAGTTACTCTTTTTAATGGTTTTTTTGGATGTTGAATAAAATCAAAACTTATAAAGTTATTCGAGCCTAAAATCAGGGAGAAACAGTATTTTTGTGCTTTTAGGTTAGAATATCTCGGAATCCTGACGCGATGGAGCAATTTTGATGCCGAATTCAGATTCAGCGCACCAAAATTCTTTGGGGGTGTATATTCTCGTTTATGGATATGAAAGAAATAGAAAATTTATTGACCTGTGTAATAATCATTACATACCTGATGACGTAAGTATTCCATTATTCAACCAAGGAATTAACATGCTATAAGCATTTGATTTTGCCATAAGTGAATAACTAGATAACATTATCTACAATCAAACGAAACATGCAAAATTTATGAAATTTTTTCGTACTTAAACTTTTTCATATTTAAAAAAAGAAAAAACTTTTACTTGAATAAGCCATGGTTTACGAATATTAACAACGGGTTTCATACCAAACCAAGTAACTACGATTCCTCGTTCAAATGAAAAACATAAATCATTTAACCATCGGAAACGATCTACAAATATACAAGTTTTAGTATTTAATTATTTATCATTTCTCATATCAGTCAAATATTACCTTCTATGGGAATTCTTGAAAGTTTCCAAGATAATCCAACAAATGGAAGAGTTTTTGGTCCAGGTATGTATCCCATTATTCTTCGCAATTCAAAGTATTCGGATAACCATAGAAATATCGAGAGAATTATTGTAAACATAATTAAAAATAAAATTGACAATATGATTGGTGACATATCGAAATTGTAGCTTCACATTAGTGCAGTGTATACATCAATCCGGTGTCATTTCTTAAAATTATCGTGTAATTTCATAATTTTTAGTATAATTATTGTACGACCGCACGCATATTAGTTTCATGTTGCAAATGTCACAGTTACCATATGTTATAAAAACAAACAAGCAAGTTACTTCTTTTTAACTCGTAAGACTTATATATTTTCATTTAATTTACGATAATGCAAATGAAAAAAATCAGATTGATTTACACGTATACTATAGATTTTATCGGCAGTACATGTCTCACTCGAAGTGAACTACTTCTACATAATACATTGCGCTCTACTCAAGTACAGTAAAAGTAATTCAATACTGTGAAGCCACGTAAGACTCAGACCTGGCGGTTCAGCATCCTTTCTTAGCAGTTAGTTCAATACCTGCGGTAGATGAACATCATGCTGAAAACAACATTTTGATGAGAACTTCCAATAATTTTGAAATATTAGACACTGAATGTAGTGATCTTACAGTCGAATTTTGAGATACCGATTAAAAATTCGACTCTGTTTTTTATTTTTTAGTTGATGACTGCTATCAATTGTCGTTCCATTCGGGTTCAATAACATTACATTTGAGAGGGGGTATTGGTAATGATATTATAGACGGTAAACGATTTGGCATAAATTCACCTGGCCAAAGGTGTATTGTATTCAAACTCATCAGCCCAGTCAAAATTATACGAATAATTGAATAGAGGTTAGGCATCAATGAGCAATTTCTCGAGGCTTGTTGAGGCCATATAAATACGTATTTTGAATCACCTAAATGAAAGGAACTTTGAAACTTTTTCAAGTTTGATAATCAGTATTGGTTTGATAAATAGTGCTAACTCTAATAAATTATATGAATAAATTTTTCTTTGCACCTGTAGCCAGTTTACGAACTTCAGTAGCGGCTACATGAAATGGATTAACGCCAGGCGGAGCACTAAAAATTCCAGAAGTTTCTGAAGATACTCTACGATAATGAACAATTCGAATTGGGTTTTGCTTTTCATTGAAACTATTACAAAGACATTGCTTTTCCTCTTCTATGTCTAATACATCCAATTTTTTGATGTGTAGATCGTCCATTGCAATTCAATTAATATTCGATGCTTTTTGAGAAAATCAATTTATTTATTATCAATTAGGCATTTTAAACTAGCATAAGGAATAAAACGAACATTATATTATGATTTAATAATTTAATTTTTTTTCAATTTGTCCATTACTATTACTTTTTAAGCTATAAAATGAACTTATATCAGTCACATACACGTTGTCAACTTCAGGTAATACTTTTACAATTTTTATCTCTTTAGTTTACGTAAAATAACCTTTCAAAATTAATTATTAAAAATTTGTTGAGTGATCAAAAATCCAGTTTTTCAAGAACTTATTCAAGTAACAAGACCATATTTCGTATTAATAACATATGAAAAACTTGATAATGGCAAGCAACAATAATGGTAATAAACTTAAGTATATGAAAATTATAAAACATAGTTGCTTGATTATTTATGTTTTTATTTATTAGACGAAGCAATTCTGGATGTTCCAAGAACAAACATTATTGAATCAAATTGTGGTGAAGGTAGCATTATTAACTTTCTAATTACCTTGCTTTTCTATTAACATTCATAGCAGTTATTATAATCTCGCAAATATATACGGAGGCAATGAATTTATTAACATGATTTTTCAAATGCTCAGCGATGAGCATAGATAACGAGGACAAAGATAATTCAACAACGAAATGCCAGGTATTTTTCAAAAATACGATAGATCGTTACGAGGATCGACAGAACGACCTCGACTGCCGTCAGAAAATGCTTAACGCGAAAATCGCGGTAATGGAGCGCTCGATTCCAATGCTAATGGCTTTGAGCGTACGGAAAGCGAACGACTCTGGCAAAAAATGCAATTCGGCTGGTGGCGTGGAGCAGCTGCGCGAATTAATGAACAGCTTAATGCCATCCACGCTTGATCCCGCCGAAGAGCTTCTTGCTGATCTGGCCGTGCGTGTCGAACAATTGAATCACGAAACGGCAGAACTGCACGTAGGTACGACCTTCAAATTTGGGTAGGCCTAATTTCGTGGTCTGTTCGATTACACTCAACTATTCATTATGTTCGCGTTTTCTGCAAGTCAGTTACGTAAATTATAAATGTAGCACGCAGAAGAATGACTTTAATTAGTACATCGTTACGTTTGCTCATTGCCAATGTAATATAAATGTATTTTTTCCGAAGTATCTGGTCGCGCTAATGGTTATATACTTACGTCATTCTTGAGGTAGTCGTGTTTGTTTCGTTTGCTATGATAACCTGTTTGAGCTGTCATTGGAATAGTAATATTAACAGTAGGATAACTTTAAATAAGTATAATTTACTTGATAAATTGTATTCGCAACAAATTATAATTGTCAATTTGTACTTTTTATAGATTACATTGATAGTTAATAAATTTAAGAAAATAGTCAATCTCATAAAAATTAAATAATCAGTTAAATTTTACGTTTAAATCAACACATATTGAGCGATCTTACTGAATAATGTTTATTCCATAGGGTAAAATAATTAAAGCTGACTTACAACTCGAGGAAAACTGTATGGAGTTGCAATCTCTAGAACTAGCAAATCGCGAGCTTGAAGAGCAAATACAACACTTACGAAGTACATTGGAAAAAAAGTCAAGCCTAGGGTCAATCAGTTCAGATGATCGCATTTGCTTAGGTAAAATTCGAGAATTAGGAGAAATCAAAGCCCATAAAAAACGTAAGATTCAAGAACTTGAAGAAAAGGAAACTCTTTTACGATGTTTAATTGAAAAAATTCTTGGACCGAAACCTATCAAACAAAAGAGGCTTTGCGATCTTCTAAAGAATAATAGCAAGCATCACATATACAGATCAAAAAATCATAAGATAAAAGATCCCGTAAGCACAATATTTAGGATTGAAAAACATTTCGATATCAAAATTATAATATCAATAATATTTGATTTTTATATTATACATATTAATATCATAGTAATTTCTTAATACTTTCAGCAAAAAATTGACAAATCAAGACAGCGTCAAGTAAATAAACATATCTGCTTTAACCTTGGTAATGATACATTGAAAAGAATGGTAAATCACAATCCTATGGTACGTATTCGGAAAGCCATCTTGTATAATTTACCTAATATCTCGTTAATAAATATTCGATACATAGGCATGTAAATGTTACGACAAATGCCGATCTCCAAATCTAAAAGAATTGTATGTGGATAAAGATCTCGCAGGAATTTGTTCCTGTCGTCAAGAAAATGCAAAAAATTGTAATGTTAATGAATTATGCAAATGTGGAAAATATCTTTTACAAGAATCACAAACTGAATGTAGCGATGCACAGGAAGACCCTCGGTGCTCATTTTTGTGATAATGATTTTGGCAATATTAAAACAATCGACGTATTCTCCTCCAATACAAATATTCTTTGAAAAACGAACATCTTTAATATATGCCATAAATTAATTAAAAATCCATTAACATTATTTTTCAATGGGTATACCTTCGTCGAGTGTGCAGTATAATTTTGATAATATATGTTATAATATAAATGTAAAAAGTTTTCATCATATTACAGAGATTTATTAATAAATAACAAATATAAAAAAATGAATAAGTCCAATAGATAAGTGCAATTATAGTGGATTTATTGCAGTGTACTGTGACCATTCATAGATACACCCTATTTTGTATAGGAAAAATAGAACAGAAATCAAGCATCTGTTCTAAAAATTCATTTTATTAGATTATAGATTATTTTATTTTTATTTAATACTTACAACTTTAATATTTAATACATCTTTTTAATTTAATAATATATGCAACTTTAATTTTTAAATCTCAATCAACAATAAACGTTGTAACCTAATATCGTGACATTTGAATTAAAAGTTACAGTACTTGAAAAACTATTTAGATTAACTTTAAAAAAATTAAAAAGAACATTAAATAACGTTGAAATAAAATTGATTTCATTTGCATTCTCGAATTGCTTAGAATTCGTCATGGAATGGGTAATCTTTATGTTCCACAGAGCTGAAAAGATATACATTATTAAAATAATTGAATTGTAGAGTGTAATGATTGATTACGATGAGATTTAATATTTAACCTGTTCATGGGACAAACTCTCCATTTTCGATCAAAAGTGTGCAATAGTTTTATATCTTCTTCTGACAACTGAAAGTCGAATATTTTTGTATTCTCTTCTAATCTCACTATAGAAGCAGATTTTGGAATGACTATATGACCACGTTGTACCTAAAAGTGTTGTAAAATATTTATTTATAATTCTATTTATTCACGAAATTTTTTTTCATTATATAAAAACTTAACGTTACCTGATATCGTAATACAACTTGAGCAGTAGATTTCTTGTATTTCGCTGCGATCTCTTTAACTTTGGGATCCTCCAATAAGCTAGGATCGCCTGGCTGCGCCCAAGGTCTGTCCGGTGAGCCAAGAGGACTGTAAGCCGTAATTAAGATATCCTTGGACTTACAAAATTCAGACAACTTGACTTGTGGTAAATAAGGATGGCATTCGACTTGATTAGTCACTGGTTTTATTTTGCAATTATCAAGAACCCTTGAAAGTTGTTTTGAATTGAAGTTGCTCACACCAATATTCCTTACTAGACCTTTTTCTTGAAGCTGCTCCATCGCCTTCCATGTGTCGACGTAATCAACGTCGCTGAATTGCACTTTTCCATCGGGACCTTCTGGAAATGGTTCTTCCAATTCTAAGATAAAATGAAACAGTTGGTTGTTATTAAAATTTCTCAAGTTGTGTGGTAAAAACGAATGTTGTTTTCATTTTTAATGTAATAAAATATTGATTCATTTCCATTTAACACGATAAAATATACATTATATCAGTTTCATATCTATAAATTAACTAGTTAAAAAAATCGAACTGATCGTCTATTTTATCGGGAGAAAATTAAAAAAAGCCGTTAATTGATAATAATTTATAAAATAAATATTAAATACAAAAATGTGTGAGATTTGGAATGTGTAAGGAAGTTGCCTTTTTGGTCTAATTATTTTACTATAAAAATTAATGGTAAATAACGCATTTATCGAGCCAATGTTTTAATTACAATAATCACTGAATCTATTGCAAAGAAAAATTGTCGATTCAGCATTTTATTTATCAACTTCACTAAAAGTTTTTTATTAGACGGGTGTTGTATATTGAAACTCATTAATTGTTGAATTAATAACTTATCAAATGCAAATTAAAAAGTGTAATTACTTGTAATATACCTTTGAAAGCGAAGGGCCAATGTATTAAATAAAGATCGAGATATGTAGTCTGCAAGTCGGATAGAGTTTTTCTCAATGCTTCTTCAACAAGATCGGGACGATGACGAGTGTTCCATAGTTTACTTGTTATGAAGAGATCTTCGCGTTTGACAACATTTTCGGAAACAAGTTCTGTGATAGCTTGGCCGATTTCTTTTTCGTTGCCATAAACCGGTGAAGTGTCGATGTGCCGATAACCTATGCGAACGGCATCTTTAATTATGTTGACTGCAGTACCACCTTTAGACTAAATAAATGATATTAAACATACAAGTAAGTATGGAAAACTATTCTTTTTTAGACAATTAACTTATTAATTAAATAACAGAAGTAAACGTTGCATATTTTACAATATATTATAATTTTTTTTCCTTTAATATCTTACTTTAGAGATTTTTTTCTAAATATTTCATAAATAGTCGTCATTATACATCTTGTGTCACTTAATGTTTTTCTAATGTCTCAGAAAATAATCGAACTAAAAAATCAAAAGATTATTTAGGTATACATATTATATGATGACCAAACTTTTTCCATAATAATGTAATGCAATAAAATCTGACCAAAAAAAGGTAATTTTTAAGTCAATATTGAAAAATTTAAGTAACTTGTCTTCTGGCTGGCACACAACCTACACATATTCTGATGCTCGCCGATAGCATTAATGTTGATGCGTTGAATAACCTCTTAAATAATGCACTTTCCAGTAAAAGTAAATAACGCTTTATCCTCGAGATTTACTGTAATTATGTCTCTGTGCAATGACTTCGTTTCTCAAGATACATATCTACGTAAAGTGATCTCTCCGGGCAACATTAAAGTATTCTTTATATAAATGTATTTATAAAGTATAATATATAGTTACTTAAACTACTTCTTATCTTTTAAGATGCTGTCTCGTTTTCACTTATTATAAGACAAGCAACAGAAAAAAGTATCGAAATAAATAAATCACACCTTTAAAAACAATTCAGCCGGTATTATAACCTAAGATGTTACTTTCACGGTTAAATTTAATAAAACTTAATGCTTTTCAGGAAAAAATCTGGGGTATGATACAACATACATACTTTCCAAGTTCCTAATCCGAGGGCAGGAATTTTATTTCCATTGGAAAATATAACTGATTCTATTTTACTCATTGTTGTTTTGAGATGTTTTGGAATGAAATTCTGGAGAATGACTAACGCTTTACGCAAGAAAAACATGTGTTAGTATGGAAATTGTCTACTCCCACCAATCAACAAGAAGATGTGCGCGGTCGCAGTTACGCTACCGCCTTTATGTACAATGTACATAACTATATATATAATGATAGGTATGTATATACGTATGCTTATTTGTCGTGTATGTGTGTGTGTGTAGTCGGCGGTGAAAAGCTTTGTGGTTCCGCAGAACGAATGGAACGCACCCTAGTGTAAAATATGCGCACCACATATAAGCATTCAAATTTAAAGTTATACATGTACCTTTATTTAAATGTTAAATAATTGCAGAAATTTCGTATAACAGTTACCAGTGACAAATATTTTTTAATATCTACAGATTCATTAGTGATTTACAATTAGAACTACTAAATAATCTAAAACTCGTCGTGAAAAGGATAATCTTTGTGATCTATAGAACTACAATAAAACATATCTTCCATTGAAATAAATTAATATAGGAATTATAATTCAAAAAGTTATTATACTTACACAGTGAATGGGCAAAATCGATTACGTTCGAAAGTATGAAGTGATTCAATATCATATTCTGATAATTCAAAATCAAATATCTGCATGTTTTCTTCTAATCTATCTAATGAAATTGTCTTGGGGATAACGATATGTCCACGTTGTATCTGAAATCATGTAAATTAATAATCAAATTAGGTAATATCTTAGAAAATTATGCTTTTCTTCGAATTGATGTAGTAACCTGATAACGTAAGACGACTTGGGCTGTAGATTTCTCATATTTTTCGGCAATTTCCGTTATTTTAGGATCTTCTAGTAAAACTGGTTCTCCTTCTTGCATCCAAGGCCTTTTGGGAGCACCAAGGGGACTGTAAGCCGTGATTAGGATGTCTTTGGACTTGCAAAATTCAGATAACTTAATTTGAGGTAGATAAGGGTGGCATTCGACTTGATTGGTCACTGGCTTTATTTTGCAATTATCAAGCACTCTTGAAAGTTGTGTGGAATTGAAATTGCTTACACCTATATTTTTTGTTAGACCAGTTTCCTGCATTTGTTCCATTGCTTCCCAAGTTTCAAGATAATCGACATCGCTAAACTGTATTTTTCCATCGGTGTCCATAGGCACTGGATTTTCCGATTCTACTTCTGTAAACAGTTCAATAGAAATAAGTTTTGGCTTATCTAATATTGTATTTTTAACTGAATTTATTATAATAAAGTGCAATTTCAATAATTCAAATTGTTAATTCGATCCCGCGATCTTCCAATTTTACCTTTTCGAGGCTGTGAAGCCTCGAAAGTTGGAAATTGTAATCCTACGAGTTTCAAATTACTCAGGTTGCACCGTATTATATTTTTTTGTGACAAACTACCGTAATAGTTAATGATATATAGATATTAAGAAATTAACTAAGTTGTCAAACCTTTAAATGCCATCGGCCAGTGTATAAGATAAAGATCAAGATACTCAATGTTCAAATCGGACAGAGTTTGCCTTAAAGCTGGTTCGACAAGATCTGAACGATGACGAGTAGACGATAATTTGCTAGTCACAAAAATTTCTTCACGAGTTATTATACCCTCCTCAATAAGATCAGTGATGGCTTGTCCAATTTCTTTCTCATTACCATACACCTGTGCAGTGTCGATATGCCGATATCCCATACGGACAGCATCTTTGATTAAATCGACCACACTATCGCCTACAGACTAAATATTGAATTTTTAAAACACAATCGTTAAACTTGGAAATTCATTTTTTCGAAGGTTGCACGTAAATTAAAAAAATTTTTTTTCAGTTACAATTACGATGATGCATAATCGTGGAGTCTCAAAATTTTGAAGGGAGCTTATTTTTATTCTTATTGTTTTTTCAAGGTCTAAGTTTATTTAAACTCTACAGAAATACGAGTGGTAAAATAAATTATAATTACTAACTAAAATTACTGTTTTAAATTTATTAGCTCTTTCAAATTGAAACTTACGTTAATTGTCTATTTGAAAATTTTGAATTGACTTTATTTATTGTAACATGAACAATAATTGACATTGTCATATATTTAGATTTTTTGTTTACCTATGTGTTCAAATAAAATACCTAATAATTTTTTTATTGTACTACGTTGTAATATACGTAGGTATATTGAGTGTATAGACTGTAAGTAAATTTTCATTACCAATCGATCAATGGCTCTACGAATAGTTCTTGAACTCCACGTGTTTTTTGATGCTATTATTTAATGTGATCTTAACAGCTTTGAAAATAATGGTTGCAAATTTTCTAACTCGCAGCAGATATTAAATTAATATAAAATAATTTTTCGATAAGTTAAATGAAAATAAATTATTAGATTATGATTATTCAAAAAACTCATTAAAATTTTTTAGTAACAATGATTTCAAGTTATCAAAAAGTTTCATTTTAACTCATTATATTCCAATAACATAAGACAAATACTACAACTTGAAATAAATTTACCTGCCATGTTCCTAATCCAAGTACAGGGATTTCATATCCATTATAGAAAGTTGCAAATTGTAATTCACTCATTATTTCTAAATATTTAATAACGTTATTTCGGTATGACAGTTTGTACTTTATAAAGTTAACATGAAAACAATGACTGCTAAACTTTATTGCATACTCGTACTACTGACAAGTAAGCAATGTATGGTCGCAGTAGAGAATCTATACAAGGTAGGTGAAGGTAAAGGCGTATGTATAGATAAAAACGTTTATACGATATTTCCAGCTTTACATGATAGTTAAAGTTCACTTTTAAAAATTGAATTGATTATTTAAGTATTTTACAAGATTTCACACTCATACACAAATTTTTTCAATATTAACTTCGCTTGTATATGTCATCAATATAATCAATGTTTCATAAACGAATCCATAATGAAAAATAAGTTTAATGTAATAATTAAAAAGTAACTGAGCGTCAATGCACAGAAGTAGAAAACCTAAATAGATAATAAGAAAGTCAAAATAAATTAAAGCAGCAGTAAAATAGAAATCAACGTAAAAAAAGATACTGATAACTAAAATGATACAGTCAATTGCATTGTTCACTTAATAACTCTGAATAATATTAATCTTGAAGATAAGCTAATTATTTTACATGTTAATATAAGAAGTTTGAAAACAAATATAACAAAATTGGAAACTCTCATGGAACGAATGATAAGTAAACCTCACGTAATAGTACACAAGAAAATTTGAATACAAAGACAGAAAACATGAAGATTGATAGAGTAAATTTACATAAATATCTAGGAATAATTTTCGATAGCAAATTAAAATGGAAACCCCATATTGACCATTGTGACGGTAAACGTCAAATTAGCGCTGATTATTTAACTTAATTGCTGCCTGTGAGGGCAGCACCTGCCGGGGGGACAAAATACGTAACGAAGGAATTCGGCACGCGAGCAGACGGAACGCGCGCGATTGAAATCGAACTAGTGAAGCATTGACCGTTGTTGTGTCCGCCCGCTTTCGCTATTACCACCGCCGATTCACGTGCCCTTGACCACCAGACGCTGAGACAGTGATATCCAGCTGAGAGCCAGTTATCCAGGACTGCAGCCGCCAAGGAGCCATCCAGCTACCAGCTTGAGGCCAAGCCGAGTGTGTGTGTGTGAGGTTTCGCCATCGAGGGCGAAACCATTCCGTGCGCGTATTCGCGACCCGCGAACTAAACATTAAAAACTGTTCCGTGCTGTGCGATTTGTCGCTGTGTTCTCCGATCGCCTGCAAATATAAGGTAAGCTGGCCAGCTTAATTTCGCGATCGCGATTGCGTGATTAATAATCAATTTCTAATATTCGATGCGTGCATGCAACGGCTCTAATAACAAAGAGCAGCGAGCGTACCGGCAAAGCGTGTTGCCGATGAGCGAGCGTCAACGTAAACAAACGCGCGGGCCGACCTTCTGTAGAGTATGAGGGATAATAAAAGATCCAATTTGTATTACTAACAAGTGCTTTTCGATTCACTTATACCTCATAGCTTCCACTCACTTTCCTTCGATAAGAGAACTTACTGGTTGACTGGCGCCTGTCTTTGCATGCTCTCCGATTTACCTATTGAGCACATAATTAATTACGCGCGTCCTTTTAGTATAATTGCGCGAATAAAATAATTAAACGGTTTTACCCCGTTACATGGCGCCCAACGTTAAAGAACCTACGGTGTTTTTGATAGTGCAAAACACCGGTTCTTAGTAGTAAACTCGCGCCCAGTCAACCAGCGACTTAGGTGGCAGTCAAGTGTTGTGCGCACTTGATACCGAAGGCCACGTTAGTAAACAAAGCCTGTTAGCTAGCTTGCGAAGGCCCGCCGCGGCGAAAAATTGTAAATATTAGCTGTGAACGCGTGCGAGTGCGACCGAAAGATTCTCAAGCGTAAACACCAACGAATTTTGAAAGTTGCCGCAAATAATATTATTATACCCGTTGGCCCGGGGAAAACTAACACCGGCAATTTTCAAACAAAATTAATTTAATTAAATAATTTTCTTTGACATCATATTGTCGTAACGTAAATGTGTTTTTTTTAATATTATTAACTGCGGTTATTGGTGATTACGCGCAACGCTCGTTACAATATTTTAAATACTAACTCACACAGCCGTACTAACAAACAGTTAGTGCGTCTGATAGGCAGGATAATTATATTGCGTACTAACGAGCGAAGAATCTTTCGGCAAATAATTCGTAAAACGCCGTTGATCAAGCCCAGTGTTGGCTAATAAAATTTTATTATTTTTTCATTCGGCGTACGAATTGTAATACAACACTCGCACCCGCGTAACATAACTGTAAATTTTACAAAGAAGGCAAACGCAAGCAAACAAACAGACAATTATGGACCGCACTCAGACTGAAGTAGAAAATTGGGTATGGACGCTCCAGGAGGAGGAAATCGAAGAATACCTCGACCAACTGGAACTCAAAACTAGCGGGAGCAAGCTCTCGAGAGCTGCACGACTGCACAACTGGCTACTCGGCGACTATTCCGCAGCAGATTTCGCGGAAGTCGACAACCAACACAGCAGTCCAGCCAAAAGAGCCGCCCTATGTTCGGAGCTAATCGTATCCCTATGCCAGAAACACACAGCATCCGAGCAGGAGGGAGAACACCCGCTAGCCCAACTATTGCAGAGTGCGGATGTAATATCGCGAGTCCAAAAAACCGCGATAAACATCGCGAATGCCCTGGACAGCGGAGAGAACACAAATAGTAATAAGGAAATTACTATAACGGCTGTCGATGGCAGCAGTTCAAACTCCCGCCGGCATTCGCGATGATGATTCAAGACCTCATTTGCCGGTCCAGAGAACATGAGAGGAAATGGGAGGTACAAGACTCACGGAATTCGAATGCGTCTAACCTAACCCAAATAGTAGAACAAATGGTCAGGACCAACATCAAGGTGCAGGAACAAATCGACAACCTGTCAGCCAGGATAAAGGAACTGGAAAATGCCGTACGCAGAAATATGCGGCAAGACGATTCGACCAGCTCTAATGAGGAACCACAACCGGAAAACACGCGTAGGAGCGTCGCATTCCAGGATACATTTACATGCCATTACGACGCCAGGCTACCCCAGAGCACTCCAGCCCGACCCGGACTGAGGCCCACGGGGGCCGCCGGCAGGACCCCCCGCCGGACGCCCCCTTTCGGAGAGGGTGGACAGCATCAACTCGGTGGAGTTAATGCTGAAGTGAACAACCACCCGCCGAGCATGTGGTCATCCCAACAGACGTCAAACCCGTTGTCGACAACAAGGGACGTCGGCCGCATCGTCCGGGGATGGAAACTCAGGTTCTCCGGAGAAGGCAACGCGAGTATTGACACCTTCTTATTATAGTTGGACAACTCGAGGAGCAGCGCTGGACTTACGGAAGACGAGATGCTCACATCTGTCTCCGAGCTACTCGCCGGTCCTGCCCTCGTCTGGTTCGAAGCAATGCGGAACGAATGGTTCTCCTACGCGGATTTCGAGGCAGACGCCAGAGCATGGTTTGGAACCAGCAGGCAACAGCAGCAGCGTCTAACCAAAGAGGTTCAAGGCCGATACCAGGGCCCAGACGAACCCGCGAACGTATACATCGCGAACATGATGGGCCTAATGAGTCGGCTGAACCCCAGAATGACGCACGAGAGCCAGCTGGACCTGCTACATGCCAACCTCCTACCGGAAATCCAGAGCCAAATACGGAGATCAAAAGTTGACTCCGTACGGACCCTAAATGACCTGGCCACGACGGCCCAGAATAACTTGCATCAGCGAAGGATGGAGCGGACGATACCAGACCCTCAGTCGACTTTGTATCCTGAGTTGGCGTATCACCCCCGCACCGACGCGAGCAAGGGTCGTAAAGGGAAGGTGGCGTCTATGTCCGGTGACAAACCGGAAGTCAGTGATAGATTGGACCGCATGGAAAAGGTACTCGAGAGGGTGCCACACCAGGTCGTCTATACACCGACGCCCTCGGGGGCGACACCTAATCCGAGTCTGGAATCCGTCGATGGCGAGAAAAAGGTTCTGCCCATCGACATGTTTAACCAAATGCTGTTGTCCATCAAGGAATTGACGGCGGAAATAAAGAATAACCACGCCGACAAAAGCCTGACTTCCGAGGACCGAGCCAAGAGGCCGGAGACTCCTCGCGGACGAGGAAGGGATTTCTCCGGTCCGCTCAAATGCGCCGAGTGTGGCCGATTGGGGTACAGTAGGAGGTACTGTCCCCAATGCAATAAGGGAAACGAGGAAAGGAGTGGTTAGTTGGGGTTGACCCCACTCCTTCATCCCGTAACCCAAACCCCGTTAAGGAGATCTCGCGGCATTCGTCAGCACAGCCCGCACCGTTAGTAGCGAGCGTGCTGAGCGACGAGAACGAGAACTCCCTTGGTGACGCCAATGATGAGCGTAGTGGTAGAGTGAACGTGGAGAGGAAGGGTAATGACGTTAGTAAAGCCCAGGACCCTGGACCAGCCGAGGTGGTGGCGAATGGATCGCACACGCCCCCGGGGATCAGGGTAACGGCAGATAAACCGTCAAAAGGTATTGACGTTAGTAAAGCCCAGAACCCTGGACCAGCCGAGGTCAGATAAACCGTCGAAAGGTAGCCCTATGGGAACTCCGATCGTCCGGACCGAGGTGGTTCGAACGAGAAGTAACGTCACTTTACCACACGAGAGCACGGTGGTTAGCGCTATGATGGGCAAGGAGCAGAGCTGTGGAGCCGCCGAAACTGTTTCCCGATATTCCCCGGAACAAGAAACGCGCTGGTGGCTACCGGTGAAAATAGGAGACTTCCAGTTACGGGCTCTCTATGATCCGGGAGCTTCCACCACAGCCATGGGTAATATTGCTCTGCAAATAGCGTCTGTGCTAGGCGTCAGGTTAGATACCTCCCACGCAGGTACGGCAGGGCTACCCGACGGTCGTAAGTTGACGGTCGTTGGCCATGCCACGTTGCCATTCACCGTAGAGGAGATGACGATGCCGACGAGGGTGGCTATCCTCCCAGCCCTCGTCGATGAATGTGTCTTAGGAGTGAACTTTATTAGGTTGTTTAGAGCAGTACTGGATCCGGATGATGATACTGTAACGCATCGATTTGA